TGAAATTCAGGACAGGAGAATGTATATTGCATCATTATTCCAGTAAACAATTTAAGTTGAAACCAGTTAAATGCCTGCTTATTCTATTTCCAGAGGATTTAAGTATTTTTGCGATTCTTACATATTCTTAAATTTAGATTGACTTACATATTTTAACTTTGAATCACATATATGTGTGTGTATGTATATGTGGGTTCACCTACTATAAATAAGCTTATGGGGTACAGTACTGATTGTAAGACTCATTTTTATTATTGCAGATTGATGGTATAATGTAGATTCATAAAATTATTGAGTTGGAAGGAGCTTTAGACATCTTTTGGTTCAATGGTTCTTAATTCATGAATCCACCGATTTAAGGGGATCTGTTATCTTGGATGGGAAAAAATATGTCTTTATTTTCACTAATCTCAACTGAAATGTAGTATTTCCTTCAGTTATTAATGTAAGTAACAAATCATTATTCTGAGAAGGGCCTACATCTCCCTTTTCCTGAAAAATTCCTCCCGTGATCCTTCCACCCTCTACTAACTATCGCCCTCTATCTTTTCTGCCCTTCATAGCTTAGTTCCCTGAAAAGGCTGTCTATACTAGGTGCCTCCACCTTCTCTCCTCTCATTCTTCTTTTAGCCCCTGACCGTCTGGCTTCCAACCTTATTTTTCTACCAAAACTGCTCTCTCCACAGTTACTAATGCTCTCTTAGTTGCTAAGTTTAATGGTCTTTTCTCTATCTTCATTCTCCTTGATTTCTCTGATCATCCTCTCCTTGAGACTCTGTTCTCTCTAGGTTTTCTGGACACCACTTTTTCCTAGCTCTCCTCCGACTTCTCTGGCTGTTCCTTCTGTTTCCTTTATGAATCCTCTTCCAGAGGATTCTTCTAATTATAGGTTAGAAGGTTCTGTCCTGGGCTCTCTTGTCTTCTCCCTCTATATTACTTCACTTGGTGATTTCATCAGCTCCCATGGATTTCATTACTATCTCTGTATTAATGATTCTTAAATCTACTTTTCCTGTCCCAGCCTCTCTACTGACCTCCAATCTCACATCTCCAACTGCCTTTCAGACATCTCAAACTGAATGTTCAGCTTATATGTTAAACTCAGTATGTCCAAAACAGAACTCATTATCCGTCCCCAACTCCTGCCTTTCCTATTACTGTATAAGATAACACCATCCTCCCAGTCCCTCAGGCTCAAAACCTGAGAGTCATGCTTGGCTACTCAGTATTTCTCCCCCACCACGATCTGATCTGTTGACAAAACCTGCTGATTTCACCTTTGCAGGGTCTCTTAAATATGCAATCTTCTTTCCTCTCACACTGCGGCCACACCAATGCAGGCCCTTATCAATTCACACCTGGCTTATTTCAATAGCCTGTTAGTGGCTCTGCCTACTTCAGGTCTTCCCCAGCTCCAATCCATCCTCCAACAAAGAGATTTTCTTAAAGCCCAAGTCCAACCATGTCACTTCTTTACTCAAGCGCCAGTGGCTCCCTATTGCTTCCAAGATCAAATGCAAAATGCTCAGGTATTCGAAGTTCTTTATAACCTAGGCCCCTCACACTCTTTGATCCAGTGACACTGGCTTCCTTACAGTTCTACAAACAAGATTCTCGATCTTTCAGCTTTGGACATTTTCTCTGCCTGTCTCCCATGCCTATGATGTTCTTCCTCTGTTCTACCTACTGACCTCCCTGGCTTTCTTTAAGTTCCAACTAAAATCACATCTTTTACTGGAATTCTTCTCCAACCTGTCTTAATCCTAGTGCCTTCTCTTTGCTAATTGTTTCCTATTTATTCTGTATATATTATGAAGTGGTTTGCCATTTCCTTTTCCAGCTCATTTTACAAATGAGGAACAGAGGTAAACAGGGTTAAAGTGACTTGCCCAAGGTCACACAGCTAGTACTAGTGTCTGAGGTCAGATTTAAACTCAGGAAGATAAGTCTTCTTCACTCAAAGCCTGACTCAAAGCCTGGTATTCTATCTACTGAAACACAACTCCTGCCTGGCACATAGTAGGTGCTTAATGAATATTTATTGAGGTCTATAGGCTTCACTAGATTGCCAAAGGGGTCCATATCACACACACACAAACACACACACACACACACACACACACACACACAGAGTCACACACATTAAGACCTAGTTTAACATACACAATTTGCAGACAAGGAAATTGAGGTTTAGAAGGCTGAGTTTCTAACTCAAGTCCCTGTAGTGATTTTAAAAAGAAATTATTTAAGAAGCTGAGAATCAACATAGCATAGTGGGTAGAGAGACATCCTGGGAGTTAGGAAAATATGGATCCAAGTTCATGTTCTGTCTCTGACACATAGAGGTTGTGTGACCCTGGATAAGTCACTTCTTACTGCCCCAGGAAACTTACTAAAACTATCAGTTACAGAACAGTTGTTTATCTTCTTCGGTACAGGGAATTTCCTTACCAGGAGCTCCCTATATTAAAGAAATCAGAGGTTCGGGCCCCTCAAAAAAAAATAATAACATCAGAGTAGTCACTCTTAGAACACCTAGCACAGTAATTTCCCTATGATATGTAATAAATATTGTTGACTGATTCATATTACATTGATAAGCAAAGAATCTCAAAACATTTTAATATTAATATTAGTTAATTAATATTTGAAGTAGCTATCTGAAAAAATACAGTAGTTGGCATATACAGTTTAAAATTTTTGGTTTTTTTAATTTTTAGGCAATTGGGGTTAAGGGACTTGCCCAGGGTCACACAGCTGGTAAGTGTCAAGTGTTTGGTCTGAGGCCGAATTTGAACTCAGGTCCCCCTGACTTCAGGGCTGGTGCTCTCTCCACTGTGCCACCTAGCTGCTCCTACAGTTTAAAATTTTGAAAAGTGAATACCAAATGACTAGAGTTATACTGTGCATGACAATGGGATAATGGAATATAACAGCATACTAAAATGTGATTTTAAATTATAGCAAAATTATATACATAATCTTTCACATACACCTCTCCCCAAAATACTCCCTCATGCCAAATTTTCCTGTTAATATAGAGAGCACCACCATTTTTCCAGTTCCCCAGGCTCAAAACCTAGGTGTTATCCTCAATTCCTCACTCTCTCTTACTCCTCACATCCAGGCTGTTGCCAAGGCCAGTCGATTTAATCTCTACAACATTTCTTGTATTCATCCCTTTCTTTCCTCTGATACTGCCATCACTCTGGGGCAGGCCTTCATCACCTCACACCTAGACTATTGCAATAGCCTGCTGGTGGATCTGCCTGCCTGAAATCTCTCCCCATTTTAATCCATCCTCCATTCAGCTACTGAAGTGGTTTTCCCAAAGCCCATGTCACCCTCCCTTACTTAACCAACTCCAATGGCTCCCTGTAGCCTCCAGGATCAAATACAACAGTGTTGTGCTTGGCGTTTAAATCTTCTTTATCTAGTACGTCTTCTTACAACTTATACCACCCCCACTCCCTACCACGTACTCTGATCCAGTAAAACCGGTCTCCTTGTTCCTCAAGTAAGACACTCCATCTCTTGACTTCGAACATTTTCATTGTCTATCCCCTATGCCTGGAATGCTCTTCTTCCTCATCTCTGTCTCCTGGCTATCCTTCCTTCCAGTCTCAGATGAAATATTAACTTCTTCGGGAAGCTTTTCCCAGTCTCTCTTAATTCTGCTACCTTCACACTGTTGATTATTTCTTATTTATACAGTATGTATCTTGTTTGTACAAAGTTGTGTGTGTGTTATCTCTCCATTAAATTGCTAGCTCCACAAAGGCAGGGATTGTATTTTGCCATTCTTTGTGTTCCTGGTGCTAAGCACAATACCTGGCACGTAGGAGGTGCTTGATAAATGCTTATCGACGGACCGACTTTAATGATTCATTTCTTGCACATAAGTTTATACAAGTAATGGATACTAAAGCTCATATTTTCTACTTATCAGCCATTTGGAATTTAAAAACTGGCATGACAACTTCAAAAATAACTCACCAGGTTTATCAAGTTATATTTTTGAATAATAACTTATCAAAGCATACCATATTATCAAAAAATCTTAAATGAAGGTAGCATTTGGATGTGATTATTTTTAAATGGACAATTTAAAAAATATAATTCATGGCTTTATAGAAGATATCTCTGGCCCTCCCCCTTAAAAAAATCCTCCCTTCACAACCATCTTTCTTTCCTACAGAGAGATCATAATCTTCTGTTTATAGTTCCTGGTTGCCACTAGAAATTATTATCTTGTCACAACTAAAGCATGTTCAAGTTGGAGTAGTGCTAAGAAAGTGACATCTTATATGATGGATTATTGAAAAAGGGCATTATTCAAAAAGGGCAAAAATATCTGTATTATCCATATCTGGCCCTCAAAAGTGATGCTCTCAGTAATCTTTGCATTCCTACCTGTAATTTCAAGTATTTTTCATGTAGCACTCATGTTCTGGGGCTCACTCTCCAAATTTATACTAGGACAAGCAGGTAGGGACCCCAAAGCTTGGCTATTTCTCCCCTCAGGATTCTAGGAGTAATAATCTTAAAGAATTGGGAACATTTTTTTTAATACCATTAAGTCCCTATCTGCTGCATCTCTTCCAATATCAATCAACCATTTACTAAGTTCTCAATCTCATCTAACCAGTGATTACCACCCAAATATAACTGTACTCATTGATCTCAATATCAATTAACCAATTAACATCAATTAACTTTTATAAAGGGATATTTACTAAGAAGATATAGCAAGACCTGAAGTACAAAACCCTTCAAAACTTGGATAACATTCTTTACCACCTACAAGAAGCCCCTGGACTCAAATTTAAAATGGTTGCTACAAACATTCCTCCTCTCAAGTTCGCTTCTAGATATGGCATAGCCAATGGACAAGTCTCTCCTTTGCTTGCCAGACATGGCATCTTGGTGGTCAGGTCACTTTACTCCGAGGTTGGTCCAACCAGGTCACTCCTTAGGGAAAGCTGTCTTCCTTGGACTTGGCTGCTACAACTACTCAGCTATGGACTCTCATTTCTGATGACTCTTCGGACATTGTGAAGATCACAAAGTTATAGCTTCATCTGTTTTGTCTCCTATAGACATTCAACTAAGAACAGAAAAACATAAACACTAAAGAGACAAATGAAACAGTGGCACCATGTGTTCAAGGCTGCATGACAACCTGAGTCCCCATTGGCTTGGTTTTCCTCCCTACTTCCCACCCTTTACACTCACATACTACTGGGCAAGAAATATATAAAGAGCAAAACTTGTGTAAAGCAACAGGGAGTTTGAGAGCAAATGGATATTTTAGAGATAAAACTAAAAGTATTCTTTCTCATCATATATGTACACAGACATACCACATATATAGTAAAGTAGTCTTCCCATTTGAAAAAAAAAACAATACAAGCACATATATGTATAGTCAAATAGGAAGAAGCAGTACATTTTGTTTTCCTTACAAACATGCATAAACATATTATATGTAGATGTTTACATAAATATATAAAACCTTGGAATCCAAAATTGCCAAACACCTAGAAGTGGCATCTAGGTCTCATTTTGCAATATTTAAATCCTGCTTATGAATTTCTGGTGTGTCACATGTATCCATTATAAGTCAGATCCCATTACGAAGAATTACAAAGCATTGATCAATGCATGTATTTTACTGAAACACTGTTTTATATATATATATATGCATCACAAGCTGGGACTTGGGAACTCTTTGCAACACAGGATCTTTGTGTCATTGGTTACTATTTCAAAAGCATGTTACAACCTAGGGTAAATGCTTCACAAAGCATTTTTGTGACTGTGAAGGAGATTAGTTTGTTTTTTCCATTTTCATTGTTGTGAAATGCATATTTCTGATTTTGAGCTTTATTTTTCAAAATGTAAGCTGAGTCAATGTAGGCAAAGCCATAAGGAGCTTAACAGTTATCCACATAGAGAATATTGAATATTGAATGTTCTCCTACCAGTCTGACCACTCCTCAGTTTTCTTTACTAGATCTTCATCCAGGCTCTTCCCACTGTCAGTGTCCCCCAAGGTCCTGTTCTGGTCCCTCTTCTTTTCTCCCTCTATATTATTTCTCTTGGTGATCTCTTCAGTTCTCATGCATTCAGTTACCAGTTCTATTCAGATCATTCTTCTCATACCTCCAGTCTCCCATCTTCAACTGCCTATGAGACATTTCAAACCAGACATCTTAAAGTCAACATGCACAAAACTGAACTCATCTTTCTCCTTAGCTGAGGTTATGACCATCCTCCAGGTCCCACAGGTTTGCAACTCCTCCTTCTCCCCGCTTCCCACACACACAGCCTGTTGCCAACTTCTGTTGATTTCCACCTTCACAGGCTCTCCCATATGTGTTCCCTACTTTTCCCCAACATTGTCACCACTCTTGTCCAGGTCCTCTTCACCTCCTATGCTTTTTGATCAGTCTCCCTTCCTCAAATTTCTCTCTACTGCAGTCCATCCTCCACTTAGCTCCTAAGGCATAGGTTTTCCCAAGTCACTCTTTTATTCTACAAACGACAATAGCTCCCTATTGCCTCTGGGATCAAACATAACATCCTTTGTTTGTCTTTTAAAGCTCTGCATAACCTGTTTCCTTCCTAACTCTCCAGATATCTTACACCTTACACCCCTCCATGCACTTTGTGCTGCAATGACACTGGCCTCCTTGGTGATCTTCACTTAATATACTCCATATCCTAACTCCTTGCATTTCTACTGGTCGTCCCCTATAGCTGGAATTTTCTCCTGCCTCAAATCTGCCTCCTGACTTCTTTCAAGTCTTGGCTGAAAACCACTTTCTACAAGAAACTTTTCTAGTCCTCCTTAATGTTAGTACCTTACCTCTGGGATTATTGCCAATTTATCCTGTATATATATATAGTTGACATCTATTCTCTCCCTCATTATATTGTAGGCTCCTTCAAAGCAGAGAGTGGTTTTGCCTCTCTTTGTATCCCCACTGCTTAGTATAATGTCTGATTGTTCTTCAGTCATGTCTGACTCTTTGTGACCCCATTTGGGGTTTCCTTGGCAGAGATACTGGAGTGGTTTGCCATTTTCTTCTCCAGCTCATTTTACAGATGAGGAAACTGAGGCAAACAGTGACTTACCCAGGGTCACACATTTGGTAAGTGTCTGAGGCCAGATTTGAACTCAGGAAGTTGAGTCTCCTTGACTCCAGGCCTGGCACTCTACCCACTGTGACACCTAGCTGCCCCTTTGACACATAGGAGGTACTTAATAAATGCTTGTTCTCTTGCCTCAACCAAAGAATACTTTTTCCTTAATAATGTAAAGTCCCATTTATTCAAATAATAGTCAACTCTATAATTCTCTTTTCCTGTGTATATAGCCTTATATTTAAAATTTTTTATCTGCCATAGTTCCACAAGACTTAGTAAGCTTTTGTTTGTCTTTTTTCCCTGCATATGTGCTATGTTCTTCATTTTATAGCATTATTTGTAGTGAGATATAATTTTGATCAACTAGCCCCATTTTCTCCCTTCCTTGGAATACTTTGAATTAGTCCATCTATTTGGATTTTCTCCACTCCACTATTCTCCACCCTCCCTGCACAGGCCTCATTTGGCCCATCTCCTGCTCCAACCTGTTGTAATTGTGTCAACATTATCATTTCAATAGCAACATACTGTGGACCCATAAACAGAGGATTACAATTTCACTGCAGGAAGGCAGGCTCAGTTGTGAAAGAGAATTTGTTCAGGCATAAATATCTTCAACAATCACTATGAAATAAGAGACATATGAAAAAAAATTGATACAGATGTTTAATTCTTTTAACTATTTGCCTTTTAAGTCACCCCTCTAAAGTCTTATTCTGGTTGATCTTTTCAGAATTTCCATGTTGTAGTTTAGTTGAAGATTCTTCCTATTTACTGGCTCACACGTTTCTTTGTCAGCATGTATTTTGCTAGTAATTAGGAAATCGAAACATCTTGTTTGCCCTCTGCTTCTTTCATTTTGATAGGAATTATGTTATATTCTTAAGATGCTTTCCCCCATATAACTAAACACCACCTCCCTTCTCAGTCCCTGTAAACAGCACCTTTAGGTGCTGTTCTCCACAAAGGTATCCCTTTTAATGGTTAATTTAAGTAACTTGTAACAAACTCCCAATTCCATTCAGCTACACTCACATAAATGCAGTTTTTGTCTCCTAGTAAAATAATGTTTTTATCTCGTTTCATTTCCATTCTACCTTTTATCACAGAGTAACTCAACGTTTCATTTTTTTCCTATTCAGCTTTTGCCGATTTCTCTTTTACCTTCCCAGATTATACAAATTATTTTTGCTCAAGCAAAAGCTTTCTCTTTACCTCACCCAAATAAAGACACTTGAAAATTTCATACAAGGTGAACTTGAAGGAATATTATTTCTGCTTTCATGACAACTGCTGAAACCAAACCATTACCTTGTTGATCCTAAAATCCTAGGCAGCCCTTTGACATTAGCCCTTTCCAACAGGGCTTCTGAAGGCTTTTTGTGTGTGTGTCAGAGACCCTTTTTGGGAGTCTGATGAAGCCTGACTCAAGGACACATGTGGCCCTCTAGGTCCTCAAGTGTGGCCCTTTGACTGAATCCAAACTTCACAGAACAAATCTCCTTAATATAAGGATTTGTTCCATAAAACTTGGATTCAGTCAAAAGGTCCCACCCAAGGACCTAGAAAACTGCATGTGGCTTCAAGGCCACAGGTTCCCCACCCCTGCTCTAGATCTTTTCTGAGAACAATTCTTTCAGTGAACAAAGTAAAATACGTGGGATGAAGAAGAGTTCAATTATATCAAAATGCAGTTATCAAAGTATTTTTTGAAAACAAATTCACAGACCCATGGTAAGAGCTTCTGTTCCAGGTCTCCAGGACTTCATTACTCCTACTTTATAATCTTAGAAAAATGCAGAAAAGTGCAGGTTTTCTTACAAGTCCCTGGAGAGATGTCTGATTGTCCTCTAAGGTGCACCAACCTTGACTCCAAGAAACTGAGACTATCCTTGGCAGTTTAAGCAAACGTATCAGAATTTTTAAAAAATAGTCTTTATAGCTACATTTCTTTCTGAAGTATGAAATATGTCCAAGTTTTTTCTTGTATGAAAATAATTTTTTAAAGACTAGTGTTCAAAAAATCAGATGCCAGCAGACTATTAAATAATTTTTTGCGGGTTGCTTTCATTACGTTTATATTATATGATATGTGTGCCAACATCCCACCATGCTACCTAGTGTGTAGGTTGGTTTCTCAGATTACAGTTATCAAAGAGAAATTCTTATTTTAAAGCTTGACATCATTAAATAGCTCTAAGAATAAAAGGCCTAATTTTTATGCCCCCCAAGGGACCCCAGAGTGTCTCATCTACTCTGTTGTTCAAGCTCAGGCTTCTTGCAAAACAGCTATCTATGTAGGTGGGTGGCACAGGAGAAGAACAAAGACCGAGTATTGCTACACTGTGGTTGAAGATAGATAAGAAGTAGAACAAAATTACAAAACATTTCTCCCTGGGACTCAAATGCTGCTATTTTATTTAGTTTTTCAGTGAACTAAAGGAAAACTATTTAAAATCGAAGGCAATTTCAGTTATATTTAAACCAAGGATTCTCAATATTTTATGTGAGTCCCAGACCCCTTTGGCAGTCTGATGAAGCCTATAGACCCTTTTAACACCAATGAAAACAATTAGCATTTATAAGGAACTCTGCAAATTCTAATTCATTTTTTTCTCACAACTCTGTGAGGTTGTTCTCAGAATAATGCTTTTAAATGTATGAAATAAAATACATAGGTTTACAAAGGAAACCAATATAGTGAAATGCAGTTATCAAAATATTTTTCTAAAATGGCTTGATGAACCCCAGATTAATCATCCCTGATAAATCATTTTATGATAGAACCAATCATTTTTTCCCTTTTATGTGAATCTCAATAGCCCTAACACAAAGGGTGGTGAAGCGGTGAACAACTAGGTAGTGTAACAATTTTGTGAATAACTACAGATATTCTGGGAAAGGGCGGCCTGCCCTCCATCCTTGCAAATATACCCAGGCTTTGACTCAAGCCTGGCACGTTTTGAGTGGAAGAGGTGACTTCTGATTGCTGATGCTATGCTGCAGACCTGGGTGAGGGATGCAGAGAGAGACATGCATGGTTTAAGTCACTCTGTGGGAGAGGTATTTGTGTAGATGGAGACACTTTTCAGGAGAGAGACACATGCAATGCCTATGGAAGCTGAAGATATATGGGGGAAGATGACTCCTCAACATTGCCCAGATCTCCAGTTAGTTCCAAAGTCCAGAGACTTTCCCCAGGGCTGGGATTGGGGCGTTTTTTCTTGGTTTGAGCTGAGGTCTCATCTTGGCATTTTCTGGTGTATTTTAATATGTAGAAGTTCTCCAACTTCTATTTGATAGTTTGCTTTGATAAATAGGCTTATTCATTTGCTAATCATGAGAGTCCACAGTCTTCTCTGCTTTTGGGTGGGAAGGGGATAAACCAGTGGGTGTAAGCTTGGGGCTATCCACCTCTGCCCTTAAAAGGGATTATAGAAGTGTCTTTTGCATTGAGGCCAAAAGACTGATCACACCCTCAGGCCAGAAATATTTTGTTTTTCTAGCTTTGCTCACTTTTGCTCGCTGATGCTCAGTTCATAAAGCTATTTCTAATTTCCTCTGAACCTAACCATTTCATTGTTTCTTATAGCACCATAATATTCCATTACAGTCATATATCACAATTTGAGTTTGTTTTTTCATTTAAACTTTATTTAATTAATGGAAATCAGCCTTTCCTTACTCCCTACCCCCATATACCAAAATTTGTTCAGCCCTTCCCCAAGAAGAAGCTCCCTTTTTAGTTGTCATTTTGGTGCTACCATGAAAAGAGTTGCTGTAAATGTCTTTGTACATAGATTTTTTAAAAATTCCTTTAGGGGTCTAAGCCTAATAATGTTATAGCTGGGTCAAAGGCATGCACACTTTAGTAAGTTTCTGGTCAGACTTCCAAATTGCTTTCTAGAATTACTACAATTCAGGGTTCCACCCAACAGTGCATTAATGTACCCTGTTTTCCCACCGGACCTCCAATATTTGTCATTTTCTTCTTTTGTCATTTTCGCTAGTCTGGTGGGGCATAAATGACAACTTCAAAGTCACTTTAGTCTGAAATTCTCTAATTATTCGTGATTTAGAGAACTTTTTCAAATGGTTGTTGATAGCCTAGATTTCTTCTTTTAAAATGTACCTGTTAATATCCTTTTGATCATATATCTATTGGGGAAATGGCTCTTAGTCTTGTAAATTTAATCCGTCCCTTGTATGTTTTGAAAATGAGACCTTTATTAGAGAAACTTGCTGCCAAGATTATTTCCCCTAGTTACCTGTTTTTCTTCTAATTTTAAATTGCATTAGATTTGTTTGTACAATAACTTTTAAATTTTGTATGATCAAAAGTGTCCACTTTATCTTGTATAACCTCTCCTATCACTTGTATAAACATTATTTTAAAAAATAAAGCACAGGAAGTACTGCCTATGATCAATCCAGACCTGGTCTCCAGCTTCCAATAATGGAGACTTTGTTCTTTGTCAGTCTTCCTCTTGCCTTCCAAGGTTCTATATGTCCTCCAATTGTTTACTGTAAGAAAAACAAAAGCAGAGAAAAAAGTTTGTAAGAACAGCTAACACATTGGATTTCAGAGTAAGGATAAAAAAAAATTGGCAGATCAGAATAATCAGCCAACTCTAACAATGTCAGGTTTAGTAAAGATAAATGTAAAAGTTTACACTTGGGTTCAAAAAATCAACTTCAAAAGATGAGGGAGACATGGCCTGATGCTTCCTTCCAGAAAAAGAAAAGATCCAGAGTGTGGGAGTGCTGGTGAGAGAGGTACATGGCCTTGAATATTTACGTCTTTAGGAGCTGTCTTTAGAAGATGAAAGAGATGCATTCTGCGTAGCTCCTGAGGGCCCAGCAGTATGTAGCAATGAGCCGAAGTTACAAATAGGGAGCTTTTGACTAGTAGAGGACCAGGTGCTTATAATGGTTACTGTAGGGGCAGCTAGGTAGCATAGTGAATGGAGCATTGAGCCTGGAGTCAGCAGGACCTGAGTTCAAATTTGACCTCAGACACTTACTAGCAAGTCACTTAACCCTGGTTGCCTTCAAAAAGCAAAGAATAATGGTTACTGTCTAAAAGTGGAATGGTCTGCTTCAGAAAGCAACTGTTTCCCAGTCCCTGGAGGATTTCAAATAGAGACTAAATGAGTATTTGTTGGAAGTTAGTAGAGGGGTTTTCAGTTCAGGTATGGGTTAGACTAGATAAATTCTGAAGTCTCTTCTAAATCTAGGATTCTGGGAAGCAGACAATCCAGAAACAGGAGACCACTAGTAAATTCACTGTCTCACCAGCATATAGGGGTGATTTTTAGCTACGATCTGTCAGGAAGAAGAGAGGTATCTTTGGTGCTGTGGGCTTGCCCCCTTTCCCAGTATCTGTGGAACAGGCTATGATAAGGCTATTCAGATACAGTCAAGGCCACATTTCTGACACTGACCATCCTGCAATTGCACTAAACTCCTATGGACATTGGAGAGCTCTATGTGTAGCAACATAATCTCAAAAGTGTCTTCCAGGAGAAAAAGAAAAACAATGAAACTGAATGTTGTTGGCCCCTAAATAGAGCTATGAGAATGTACCTTCCTCCCTTCTTTGCAGAGATGGGAGGCTATAGATATGGAACACTGCATGGGACTCATTCATGTGTTGGTTAGTTTTGCTGCATTCCCCACCCCACCCTCACTCCTACCCCCTTTTATCTTCTTGGTCATAAAAGATGGCTCTGGGAGAAGGGAAGGAGGAAAAATGTATTTGGAAACATAGGTGATATTTTTTAAAATTACAAAATTTTAAAATTACATTTTTAAAAAGAAATTATCTTCCAGATCTAAAATCCAGTGCCTAGATAGGATTGTAGATAGCACTTTATGTACTATCCCACCCTTAGGCAAGACTAGCTTTACATAGGACAATGGCCCCATTGGGAGAGGGGGTCCTAAAATTTTCAGAGGGTTGGAAAGAGGATACTTTGGAGGACATCAAAATGCATGGGATCCTAATCCAGCTAGAGCCCTATTACTATGAGTTTAGCATAGCATCAATACTGTAAGGCCCATTATCCAACCACGGTGTGATTACTTTGACTTTTGAGATGGGTCTGAACCTATGATGTCATTTTTAAACTCCGTGGTGCCATCATGCCTGTCTCTGCTGCTGGAGAGGCCAACACCAATATGGCGAGCACCTAGGAGGGCCACTAAGCTGCCTAAAGAGGAATGAACCAGTGGAGATGGGAAAAATGAAGAAGGCTAGAGCTTCTTTGCCAATCAGCATTGAGATCAGGCCCATGAGAAGCTGCTGTACTTCTAGCCTGGGCAAGATAGAGAGAACCAGTCTATAAACAAACAAACAAAAAAGCAGATGAATGAATAAACAAATTGATTAATTAATAGGCAAATAAATAGAATAAAAAAAGAATCTATGGTGTCTCTAGGATAGAAAAAAACTGAGTGTAAGGTACAGGGTATTCCTGAAGATATTGATGGAAAGTTTGGGGATCTGATACTGTGGAGTCACAATCTAAACAAGGCAAATAACGTTCTGAACAGTGAATTGCTGTTTTCTAGAAAAGACAAAGAGCACCCTTCTTGCTCTATAGCTAAATACAAGATTTATCATTTCAGGGACAAGCGTGGGGGATGTTCAACTTTCTCTTATGTAACTTGCTTTATCAACTTCAAATCTCAGAGTGTATTATGCAAAAAAAGGGAAAGGACGTGATGCCTTCTACAATATGGCCAGAATCATTTCCCAAAAAGGGAGGGAAGATAAGAGGGAGACTGATAAAAATGAAAGGTAAAAACCATAAAGTAGTGAGCAAGGGCTGGCTGGTGGGAGATTCATTACATAGAGGGGGGGAAAAAAAGAGAGAGATCTCTTCTCTCTTCTGTTTAAGGAGGGGATTCTTTTTCAGGGATAAGATGGGCCAGAGATGGCTTCTGAGGTCTTTTACAACTGTGTGTCTATGAGTTTGGTCTCAAAATCCAGTCACTCAAGTACAAAGCAGGGAACTCGACCACTGGGCATTAGAGTACAAGGAGGGACTGGGGTACATGACAGGAAAGTAGTTCCCAAAGTTCAGAGCAGGACCAACAAGGCTGACTCATGGATGAGTCAATGAGAAAACACCACAGATCCTCTTATAAAGTATCTTTTACCTTGTGCTAGGATTAGTTCTAGGGCAGCTACATGATCCAGTGTATAGAGGACTAGACCTAGAGTCAAGAAGACCTGAATTCAAATCTGGTCATACAGCTATGTGACCCTGGGCAAGTCATTTAACCCTGCTAGCCTCAGTTTTCTCACCTGTAAAATGAGCTGGAGAAGGAAATGGCAAAACCACTCCAGGATCTTTGCCAAGAAAAACCCAAATGGGGTCACAAAGAGTCGGACTATGATTGGGCTCAGCTTCCAAGTGGAGATTAAATGGTAGCTAGAGTTAGAAGAAACCCATGACAGGAGCTTAGCACAGTGCCTGGTATGAGGTAGGTGCTTAATAAATGCTTATTGACTGACTGTCTATTACTTCTGCATATGTACTCTACAGGAAAGGCAGCCAGGTGTAGTGAGTAGAAAGCAGTATCAAAGTCAAAGGTATCTAAGTCCTGATATCTAACAGTTCTGTGACCCTGGGAAGTCCCTTACCCTATTAGCAACCCAGTTGATGTTCACAGGTGGGAAGAAATTTCTTCACTGGGTATTTCCTACAAAGATGAAATCACAGCTCTGGATCTTCTCCTTCCCCTTCCTCTTCCTCTTCTCCATCCCCTCACTCACTCCATATCCCCTAACAAAATACCTGATACAAAATAGGTGTCCAATAAATATATATTAAAGGAATGAATGAGAAAAGGTTATTTGACAATATTGGCTCATCAGAATAGCAACAAAATCCAACTATGGACTACATCATACCATTATTAGAATCAACAACCCAGGAATTACAAAACAGAAAACATTCTCCCATGATTTGCAAGATCATAAATATGAAATTGGGTGGTATGTGTAAAGGGGGACCTTCAGAACAAGCTTTTACTGACTAGGCCTATAAAAATGCTTAACAAATGCTTTGTTGACTGACATTATAGCTCAGCCCTAGGAAAGGAGTTCCAAAAATCAGTGAATTCACTTCCCTAGGTTCTAGGCGTGTGATATCTAGAGGTCCTGGTCAGGAGAACTAAAATTAAATTTTGTTAAATGTAGAAGCTTCTTAACAGAAAGGACTATTTGGAAGGGTTTGTTTGTTTGTTTGTTTTGGTCTTTGTATTGCCAGTTCTGAGCACAGAGCCTGGCACTTGGGAGGCACTGAATACATATTTGTTGAAGAAAGTTAAATTCTATGTGTTTCTTTGATCTACCAATATAATACATCTGTCCAAAAAAAAAAAAAAGGAAATTAAGTTAATTTTATTAAACCTGTAGGTTCTCATTAAACCTATGCTGGCTTCTAGTACTCCTCACTTCCCTTTCTAAGTGTTTACAACCTACATATTTAATAATTCATTCTAAAAATTTTGTCAGGAATGATGGTGGCAGCAAATGGCCCTGAAGAACAGCAGACAGTAAAAGGTGCTCAGGGACCACAAGAGAAGCACCCACCCAGCAGAGAGCCTTCCACTGTCCTACTCCAGGGATATGTGTGGACAGGGTGCAACCATAACTGGGGCAACTCATATTTTCAGTTCTTTCAGAGCAGCAAATGTCCTCTGGTAATATCATCATGCAGCCCTCTGCTGGTCACTGAATTTCCATTCTCTGTTGTAATATCTTTCCTGGTAGATGTGCCCTTTTCATGCCTGTTCTCTGGTTACTGATAGTCCTTTGGCCACATATTTCCTACATGCATGTCTTCCATGCACTTTCACTAATCATTGTGTTCTTTATTTATGTGTCTATCCCACTGGTGGTGTGATAACCTGTGGAAACATGCACCCATATATGTATAAGAAAAACTCTTGTCACTTGTAGTATTTAGGTAGAGATGTATTGGTGTGGTGGGGGAGACAGAAATTCACCGGAAGGCATAATATGTCCCCAGTTGGGCTTCTATTAGCTCAGGGGACCTTGAGGATGTTAGACTAGAAGCTACAACCACCTTAGCATACATTACTGTAAGCAGAAAAAGGAGAAGGAGAAGGAGGAAGAGGAGGAGAAAGAGAAGAAGCAAGAGAAGAAGAAGAAGAAGAAGAAGAAGAAGAAGAAGAAGAAGAAGAGGAGAAGGAGGAGGAGGAGGAGGAGGAGGAGAAGGAGAAGAAGAAGGAGGAGGAGGAGGAAGAGGAGGAGGAGGAGGAAGAGAAGAAAGAAAGAAAGAAAGAAAGAAAGAAAGAAAAGAAAGAGAAAGAGAAAGAAAGAGAAAGAAGGAAAAACAAGAAGAAGAATTTTTATATAGAACCTACTATGTTGCAGGCACAATGTTAAACCCTTTAAAATATTATCTCATTGATCTCACGATAACTCTGGGAATTGGATGCTATTATTATCCCCATTTTATAGTTGAGGAAACTGAGGCAA